ATTATACATGGTGAAATTAAAAGAGGGGTATAGTGGGTGAAGAAAATGATAAAAGATGCAGAGGTCTAGGATTCGCAGCAGAAGGTGTTTTATTGGTACAATATGGTCCATTATACCCTGGAAGCTCCCCTCTGCCTCTGTCATGTCGTCAAAAGATACATTTGGTTCGACCTTCGGATAACATAAACATCAAGGGGAAAATTACTGACTTCTCCAGACGGTTGTAATCGCCAGATCTGTGTGTACTATTTTTAGAACATAGTTAGAAACGTTTAGAATGTACTTATGTGTTATATGGATGGATGTGTTTCCGCTGCTACGGACACTTGAATTTTTCCGATCCATAAAGTATCCATCTATCTATCTATTTATCTAATGACCAGCTCAATTTTTACATAATCAGACACAATGGTGAGACACAATATCCTGCACAGTCATGATCAAAAGCATTCTAGCCTGGTCAATAATAGTCTGGTGTGGAAACTGTTATGATTTTGGGTTGTGTTCTATTGTTCTGTTCCCCTCCCCCCAGAGCAGTGTGTGGCAGGGGCGTGGCTGGCTTCTCCTGGTGCTGAGACTCAACACCTGTGCGTCATCACTGATCAAGACCAGTATGAATGCCAGGATTTCTCAGCACCACACTGCCAGATTCTTCCATCGTGCTCGGTAGCTTTGCAGCAGCTGGATTTAGTTTCAGTTACCATACTTACCTGTTTTTCTCCCGTGTGCCCAGATACCTCCAGAGTCTGAGTTCCAGTCCGCCTGTTCCCTGCCTCCACTACCTGCCACCACTGCCTGCCTCCAGTATTTTTTGGGAATACACTTTTGTCTGTATCAGTCTCAGCAAACTCCAACGTATCATGAACAAAGCCTCCAAGATCTCTGGTCACACTCTTCCATCTCTACACACAACAGACGCATCACAGCGCACACGCAGAATCACCTCAGACCATACACACCCAACCCATCACCTGTTCCCACTCCTGCCCTCCAGGAGGCGCTACAGATCCTTTTCTTGTAAATGAGTTTGTCTCTGATTTTTTTCCCACTCCATTCGGTCCTTCACCCAATCCCTGATGTGAAATCTCCCTGTTGTTGCATATGTACAAAACAAATCCCACAAACTGACTGTGTCGTCATCAATAAATGATTCTGATAACACAAAATGTCTTATAAAATATCTATATTCCACCTCTTGGTCACTCAATCGTGTGTGACAATATTTTCTTTGAACCTGATTCAATCCTCTGCAAACACAAAACAAACAGTGTCGTGTAATAAATATACTGTGAACATTAATGCCAAACGCACTCATTGCCTGAAGAACCACTTTTGCATGTTGCTCCCCTTTATTTCAAATTATTTAATCTATTCATATTCTGCCTGTGCCGCCGTAGAGCTGTCGTCTTTGCCTTTTTGCCTGATTTATGGTTCATGAAATTTATCTTAGTCGGGTCATGGAGTAATACAGATTTTTATCGTTCATATATTAAATTAACATTGCAGATAAAGTAAATGGACTTCTGAATGTTATTCCAGTTTCACCTGTATACAGTATATTTCTGGCCTCTCCCTGCGCTCTTAGATGCATCTGCTGCCTTTGGCTCAAGGTTTACATGCTTACTTTATATGTTGGATTAATCAGACTAAGGAAGGTATGCCAGTGAGTCAAATGAAGACCTCAACAGGCATGCTCAGTGGTCAGCAAACTCGCTCTCAAAAAAACTCGGTACAGGGTCTCTCTAAGTGGAGATCGGATGTTCTCCCCATGGCAGTGTAGGTTTCCTCCGGGTGCTCCAGTTTCCTCTATTGCTAAAACATGTAAAATAAGCAAGATCCTCCATCTCTGGAACAAACCCGAGCATCAATATCTGGAGATGGTGGGGAGCGCAGTGGGGACACAACGGTGTGTGATACAGGTCGAACATTCTCTTAAAGATCTGGGAATGAGATCTGTGGAGGGACATAAACGTTTGGAAGGATTGATTGATGAACTCGGGCCTCATGACGGATCCTCGCACTGACGTGGTCAACTCTGGAGAACGGTGGACGGAGGGATCCAGTTCCAGTATAATTTGGACTTAATTGGCTTTAAAGTTTACACTGCCTTTGATTTGACCAGCTAAAGGGCTTTTTTACAAATTCCCACAAGGAAAATGTGTTGTTTTTGTCTCCCTTGTCGGCAGGCACCGCTCTTATCTCTGTCCTCCACATTCCTTTACTCGAGGTCAAAGATGGACTCTCTCTCATAACTCACAGACTCTCAGTTCACCAGTTGTGGGACTCCCCTCCCGACTACATTGTCTGCCTCTCTCTCTCTTCAGTCTATGGTGGTCTTCCCCCTCACACTCCCCTCTGACATGCCTTATTGGACGAGGCGGGCCAAAGTGATAATGTCCCTTTAAAAAGATCTGCATGTTTTCCGCATGTACTGTGTCTATCCTAGAATGTTTGTTGAAATATATGTTTGTTTTGTTCTCTGCTGTTGAATAACTGTCATAAGGAGCGCGAAAATATTGATTGATTGATTGATGGTTCCCGGGCGCTGTACCACTGCTCCTGATGAGGCCCTAGTGGCGTTGCAGGAAGGGTTAAATGAACAAGGCAAATAAAAGTGAACCTTAACCGGAAGTATATGTTCCATTGAGATGATCCATTATGCTTGTTCCTGGGGCTATCATTAGTGACAGTAACATGGATGAATGTTAGTCCACAGGCCAGAGGGTTATAAAGTGAGCTCATCATGCGACGTTCAGTAGTTTAAAAGTGAAATATCCGGATAAAACAATATGGAACCGAGTCATTTACATCACAAATCAGTACATGTGCAAGTTTTAAACAGTAATAAAAGGTGGTAGCTGCCCCTGCTGCACATGCACTGATCTTAAAGAGACGTCTCGGGGAATAACATGTACTCTTCAGGGGGCTGGGTAATCGCCTGTGACCTTTGGGCTAAAACAGGGTACCACACAAATGCCAGGAAACAGGATGAGAGATTTAGAGCTCGGAAACCAATAAAGAGCTTTCTCCACCACACATCTCCTGAGACCGGGGCGGAAAAGAGACAAGAGAGAGATGTTCTGCAGTAAACACCATTTCACAGAAGGTCAGAGTCAATTACAGCCCACACCAAATGCACCAAGAGGCAGACAGCCATTTACTTTGCTCTAAGCACACCATCCACATGCTACGGATGATGTCAAGCAGTTTTCGTTTTTTGTCTATAAAAGGTTTTTACTTTGGACAAGTGTAGTTTGTATCGCTAAAGTTATGGAAAATGAAAATTCCCATAGCACCCATCATGATTTAAAAGGAAGACCCCAGCTGTCGTCATCACAGTCGGAGGATTTCTAGAGTTTCCTGAGTTTGTAAAGAGAGATTTCAGACGCAAAGGGAGGGGAGATGTGTTTGTGTCCGAAGTTTTTGATATATGCAACATCAGACGACATATCACAAGTGTATATGAGTTTGGGAACCATCAGTTATTTTGAATATAATTGGAGAGGTGTGGCTTACGATCAGTCATTTTTGGGAAGCTAAATGTCTACATATGCACCTGCACGTCTGTTTATGCCAATATTATCCATTCTAACAAATGCACAAAGACAAATTAAGTTTTACACAATGACTCTGACTGATTTCTGCTGTTTGTGCAAGATCAAAGTGCCACCATCTGTTGGATCTATAAACAAACTAAACTTCTGTCTGGGGAATATTCAAGCCACAGGTTTCCAAGATGTCTGCCCATTCAAATTAATGGCCTGTGCTCATTGGCGCAAGCTCGCAACACGTTTTGGCCAGCTCTGGTTCTCCTGGTTTTGCAAAATAGGTGCAAGACCAGAATAACATGTGACCAGCACTGACTGTGAACGACGGTGATCCGAGCGGAGCCAAGTTTGATGCAAAAAGGTGTGGATTTATCTAAAATTGAAGGATTTAAAAAGAAGAAAAGTTCAGATTGACAAGGGACACTAAAATCCCCATAAAATCCGATCTTTGAGACAGTCCAAATCCATGCGAAATACAGGCTCCCAGCATCGGGATTCTCAGGCGAGGTATAAACCTGGGTGGTGTTTTTTCGTCATGAATGTTCTTTATCATAAGCATAGTTTTGCCTTTTCCTGCACATATTATTATACACATAGTTCAGGAGTGTGCATATTCTCCCCGTGCCTCCTGCCTTTAGTGACAGTGAGAAATGCGTTCATCCGTGGATCAAAACGCGACACGATTTGTGAAATGAAGGGAAGCGTGTCTGTCCCATCACAGAGCTGTCATGTGTTCTGGTTTGTAGGAAACGCCATGAATCATAATAATGACTGCATTGAAACGGGGAAGAGCTGAGATTTATCTGAAACGAGTGATTCATTTATATATAGAATGGATAATAAGAGAGATGACAGTGGAAAGAAAAGGAAAATCACTGTCAAAATATCAAGTCATGAAGGTTTGAATCGAGTACTTTTTTTAAAATCTAGAAATGTGAACATTTTAACCGTCTTAAAGATTTGCAAATGGGACAAACAGTTTATTCTTATTTCAAGCTCTGTTGCAATTTATTCAGATTAACAAATCCTTTATACCAATATTTGTCCCGCAGCGGGGAGATTTTCTTTATCATATATTTGTCTCTATAAGAATATTGTCACATGTTGTTTTACGACAGTCAAATGTATTAAAATTAAGACACATTTGCAGTAGTTTGCTTGGTTTTAAACCAGTGGTTCCCAACCCATTCAATCTTTTTTTCCTCTTGCCATCATAAGTGCATAAGTTCCCCCTATTGTCCAATGTTAAGGGTGGCCATATTTTCAGCGATTCGAGATTGTAATTATGTGAACAATGTGGTATGTTTTCCTGAGATGATTACATATGTTACAAAATGTGAATATTATTTTTCATTTCAAGTTAATCATTTGTGAAATCCATAGGTTATTCTGTGCAGGTAGCATTTTAAAAGCATATTTGTCTTTAGTCACACTTCAGTCCATTATTGTTTCATGATAAATCTCTCACTTGCCTTCACCCAGAGGAGAGCAATAAAGAGGAAAAATGGTTCATTTCTCAAGACGGGGAACGTTGTGACGAGTGGCTCTGCATTTGACCTGCGTGATGGGAGGGCACTTACATTCAATGCAGCAGGGCAGGTTTCAGAACAGGACCTAGAGGAGGTCCAAGAGGAGGTCCCAGAGGAGGTCTCAGAGGAGGTCCCAGAGGAGGTCCCAGAGGAGGTCTCAGAGGAGGTCCTAGAGGAGGTCCCAGAGGAGGTCTCAGAGGAGGTCCAAGAGGAGGTCCCAGAGGAGGTCTCAGAGGAGGTCCCAGAGGAGGTCCCAGAGGAGGTCTCAGAGGAGGTCTCAGAGGAGGTCCCAGAGGAGGTCCCAGAGGAGGTCTCAGAGGAGGTCCTAGAGGAGGTCCCAGAGGAGGTCTCAGAGGAGGTCCCAGAGGAGGTCCCAGAGGAGGTCTCAGAGGAGGTCCTAGAGGAGGTCCCAGAGGAGGTCTCAGAGGAGGTCCAAGAGGAGGTCCCAGAGGAGGTCTCAGAGGAGGTCCCAGAGGAGGTCCCAGAGGAGGTCTCAGAGGAGGTCCTAGAGGAGGTCCCAGAGGAGGTCCTAGAGGAGGTCCCAGAGGAGATCTCAGAGGAGGTCCCAGAGGAGGTCTCAGAGGAGATCTCAGAGGAGGTCCTAGAGGAGGTCCCAGAGGAGGTCCCAGAGGAGGTCTCAGAGGAGGTCTCAGGGGAGGTCCCAGAGGAAGTCCCAGAGGAGGTCCCAGAGGAGGTCTCAGAGGAGGTCTCAGAGGAGGTCCCAGAGGAGGTCCCAGAGGAGGTCCCAGAGGAGGTCTCAGAGGAGGTCCCAGAGGAGGTCCCAGAGGAGGTCCCAGAGGAGGTCCCAGAGGAGGCTGTGACACGAGGTTGATAGGTCTCCATTTTCACAAAACCAGGCGAATTTTGTTGTTATGTTTCCACAGACAACAAAGTGGATTTTGTTTCTGCTTGAAAGGCCGTTAATGGAAGGTTTGTAGATTTCTTAGGACTGTTGCTGTTTATCTTAAAGATATAAAGGAGGATTTGTTACTTCCGGGTGGATCATGAAGATGATTGTCCTCTCAACTGTCAATCATTCTGATGATATGTGCTCGTAAAATAAGTCCAGAGGGTTTGGTTCAGAAAGTGGAGAGGGCAGTTCTTTCATAAAATTTGATTTGGGAAAATCTTCCTATATATCTTTAACAAAGAAAGTCAGGCAGTGTGGGTCCAACAGCCCCAAAGCTTGTATTTACTAAACAAATGATTTCAAACCAGAAGAGATGGTTGTGTTATTGCTGCGGTGAGGCTTCCTGAGAGCTGAGGTGGGGGGTGAGGGGAGGCATACTAATAAAGAGGGAGACACACAGAACAAAGCACATCAAGTCTCACAAGAGAAAAATGCCTAAATATAAGTGCCACCATTGCCAATAACCACAACTAAAGTCTCCCATCACAGCTGTCCCAGACCTGTCCCTGGTGTCCCAGACGGCAGAGATGGAGCAGACAACAACAGACTTACAACATGAAAGGTTTATGATACATGCACAGAGATATCACTTTTACACATCTGTTCAGAGACAGTGCTTTAACTGTAGCTGTTTTGGCAGATTCTGGTACATTTTCAGAAATGTGTGTGAATGTACATAATGAAGAGAACAGGGACATGCACACAACCCAAAGTCTGAAGTCTGAAGGTGTCCAACAGAGGAACTCAATCTATGTTTGTTAATGTTGCAGTTTTTGAGAAAAGTTATTGTGCAGTTTGTGTTTAGGCTGCAGTACAATTACTCCTTTAAAAAGTAATTTAGCTACAAATACATAATTTGAAGTTAGATTAGTTACTTTTACTTACTTTTTTAAGTTACTTTTCACTTATTTACGGCCTCAGCCTAAAAATGACAAAACTTACCTAATCAGAAGTGCATTTTATCAGGATTGAACACTACAATGTACAATTAATCTGTTTTACCACTACTGTTTATGTTATTATACAGCTTTTATTATACCTCCTGCACACACAGCACTTGTGCACACAGCACTTGTGCACACAGCACTTGTGCATGAGCTTTGTTTACTCATGGCCTCAAGCTCAGCTCCTCAGCTCCTTGTTCACTAAACGTTCTATTGAGGATTTGACACTTTTTCCTTTTTCTCACTGGAAATGCATCTTACCTTTTGGTGGCAGAATTACATAATAACTTTATTAACCTTTATTTACCCGGGAAATCACTCCGTGTAACAATAATGTGATTACTCAATACCCCACATGTGGATGTTGTACTTGAGTATGCACTCATGGCCCCTCAGCAGCCGTCACACATCAGAATAGATCCACGGATCACACAGAAACATTCTTGTATTGTGCCAAATTCTTCTGGAGACCTTTTCAAACTTTCTCATAATAAATTTGTCGGATCATATTTCTCTCAAACATGAGCTCTAATGAATCTGTTTAAAATATGCACTGCTGAAAAACATAAATCACAAAACTAATATTTATTACTGCACTTGTCAGATTTGCCTAATGGTGTGTAACACAGTGTGCGCTGATGTGTTTAGTGTTGTTATAATGACTTCACGCAGCAGGGAGCCCTTAACAATCCCTAGTTATTGTTTGCTGTTTGTTCGGGGACATTGCATCAATAGGTCAAGTCTTCAACTGCAAATATAATTTAATACAAGGCAAACACACAACACAAACAAACACGCATCACACTGTCAAAAGCATCATGTCTAACATTATAGAAATAAAAAAAGATTGTCAGAGGTTTCGTGATATTTCAAATACTTCATAATCTTTTCAACTAATTATCGTTAGAGGAATTATTTTATTTGCAGCATTGTTATTACTATAAATTATACAAATGAACATGCATTATAGATTAAAACAAATATCCATCTAGTGGTAGGACTGGGAAATTACATTCTCTTCTTTAAGTTAATATCTAACGCAGTATTGAAGACATGCAGCTGGAAAGAATGACACAGATTTGATGGATAATCATTAGTTGACGGCCCAAATGAAATATTGTGCTTTGGAGAAGGTGAGGAGGCTGGTGTGGCCAATAAAGAATGCAATATAAAAAGTTGCATTTATTGCATATAAAGCCTGATTACAGATTTTTAGTCCTCTGCTCAGGCGTCTTCTCCTGTACCCCCGGTCCTTCTCTCCTGCTCCACATGCCCTCTACTCTAATCTTCTTGTTTCTTCACGTCCTCACCCAGGTGCACTAATTATCAGCCGTCTGATTCGCTAAGCAGGTCCGGGAAGTGTAGCCACGCCCTCAGAGGAAATCATGCAATTTAACATGTGCACACAAGTATCTAACTTTCAACTGGAAAAAGGCACCTTGCCCTCTACAGATGGAGAGTTCCTTCCTCAAGTATTTCAGGGTCTTGTTCACGAGTGAGGGAAGGATTGAGCATGAGACAGATCGGTGAAGCATGTGCAGCCGCTCTGATTGTTGGTAGGATGAGGAAGTTGAGGCGAAGGCAAAGCTCTCGATTTACCTGTCGATCTACGTTCCCTCCCCCACCTATGGTCATGATACAGGCGATCGAAATAAGTTTCTTAGAGATCTTAGAGATGGGACAGGGAGCTCAGATCCATGGGAGGAGCGAGTAGCTCTGGGTTTGGATTCCTCCCGAACGACCACAGGGAAAACCCAGAACGCGTGGGAGGGACTATGTCTCACAGATGGGCTGGGAACACCTCGGGATTCCCCCAGATGAGCTGGAGGACGTGTGTGTGGATAGACTGTCTCTGTCTAGACTGCTGCACACGCAGCCAAGCAATGGATAAAGCACAATAAAATGGAAGGATTCATGGACTTTCCAACCACGCAAAATTATCGATGTAAAACAATCCATGTTCCAATACATCCGACCAGTACCTCACTCTCAGAACAGTTTGGTTCTATCTCTAGTGCACACAAGAATGTATTATTAGCCTCTACAGATCCGATTATTCAGACAGAAAAGTGAAACATAGAAGACCATCCTCACTCACAGGGCTCTTTCTTACAGGTATACAAAAGATAAAAGCTTTTTCTAGTACGACGAAGAAAGCCTGGTGTGGTCTGATATCATCACAGCATTTTACAAGACTCTGACTGTTGGGACAAACAACATGTATCATTCATGAAAAATGTAGGGTACCCCAGCTTTAAAATGCTACTTGTAAAGGGCAGAAGATAGTTGTGGAGGATTGGTCATAGCCGTACGAGTTAGAAGACAACCACATTAAACAGGTGTAAATACAGAACTTACTGCTATTATTGTCATTATCACAACATTTTGATGTGATTTAAATTATTCAAAGCGTAACATTGGAACATGGACATACTGTACCTGGAATTGTTTCTTTAGCCTCAAAAGAACCCAAATAATTAATGTCTATCCAGGCTAGAATAAATAAATGAACAGTATTTCTTGTTCAATCCGTGTGGATGGAGCGGATTGACAGCAGTGATAACTTTCTCGTCTCGTGGCATTTGTCGCTGTCACAATCGTCACTCGAAAGGTTAAATTCAGACGCACAATCGGCAAAACAAAACACCGTTACTAATACATTACACATAGTTTTGTCCATTTGTCCACATGAAGGAGTCAGGGCTGGGCGCAGGTGACGTATTTGATTTTTGAAGCGAATCTTTTTTATTCTTGTAACTTTGAGAGAATGAAATGATCTATGGCAGCCTTCAGCTCAACTTTTTACAAATCTGTTTTAGTGAGCACTTCTTCTTTGGGGAGACAATCCATCCCACCTCACAGCTGTTGCATCTTGATATGCACCTGTCACATTCAACGGTTTTCTTCAGATGCCTTTCAGTCTCCCAAAAGTTTAGTACAATTATGATTTTAATTTAATCAATTTATGTTTCTTCTTTTATCTAAGAAAAGATAAACCTTGATTTGTCACAGTGGGGAAATGTCAATGTCATCGTTGCACACATTTCAGCAGCATAAAAGGATCTATAATTCTAACGTCCAATGTCCAAATTTTTTTGTAATAGGGCCACTTTAGTTTACCAGACTTGTCCAGGGGCCGACAACCTGGATTGAAAAACGGTTTTGAACATTTTTAATAAGGTTGACGTTAGCTACATTAGCGACTCAATTCTGTGCCACAATCAAAAACAAGTAACGAGTATATACAAAAAACAAGCTTTACAACAAGATATAACGTACATATATTGGTAAGGCTGAAGTTGGCTGCATGACACTGAACTGATGTCTATGATATCGTGTTAGCGAGGCAGAGGGCCAGTTGACATGACACAGAGTTTGGACATGCCAGATATAAGATAGAGAAAATTGAAAATAAAAAGTACTCAGAAGTGTATACTGTGTTAGCAGTGTCATGATGTAGAGATATTTATTCTGTAAATTATATTGTAGATTAATTACACTTAGTTACACTAGTTTAATCCAATTTTTGTAAACACATTAAGAATTATGCCAAAACCTACGTTAGTTTCTCCATTAGCTCTAGTTCATTCTTCCTGTATCGCTTCTGGACATTTAGATTGTCCAATATTTCACGCTTCTCTCTCAAACAGACAGCTCCACTCTGATCTCGCTGACTCAAGCAAATCTCAAGTGTAATTATTTCTCCTTGTGAGATGAAAATGCTTCTGTGCACTTTGGGACAGCCTTAAACCAGATCCTCACCGTCAAGAGGAGTCATAAATATTGGACTATAACCATGACTGTTTTATGCTCAGGGAATTTGATTTGAAATTGAAAATCATATTGTCCGTCCGAGTTAATGATTAATGTAAAAATTGAGAATCTACGGATGAGGAAGATTCAAAGCCTTATACAGGAATGCACTTCTTTTGAAGAGAACGTAATCTTGTCTCGACACAATAATGTAGAACAATGAAA